TGAAAAACAACAGCTCTTCCAGATCTTGTTCCGTTCCTTGTTCTGACAAATAAGCCTTGTGCTAATGCTTGTTTCTCTTTCCTCTCCCGATAAAGCACAGCCCACGGGACCCTGCTGGTTCTGCCTTGCCAGCCCAGAAGTTGAGAAGCACTTGGTTGTTAGTATTGGCACGCATGTAAGTACCCGTAGCACGTCCTTTGCTACACGACAGCAAAATCGTGCTGAGGCAACAGCAATATAAAATATCAACCTCTGGTTTTAAATCTTAAAACAACCCAAACAAACTTTATTTGAAGCTGACTCTTGGTTTTATTTTCAGTTTCTTCACATCTCCCCTACGAAAAGACATTAGTTATATAGCTAGTCTTTTAAAAAAAATGAAGCGTGGCCCAGTTTTGCTCCAGCAGCAGAGCTGGATGACAGCGTCTGAACACTTTTTGCTGTGCCAGCCCTCGTGGTTTGCTTATGTTACCATCTGGCAGAGCTTTTCCAGCACGAACTCAGTGTAAACTAGGACCTGCTTTGGCTGCAGGATGCACTGTCTGGAGTTATGCCAGCTCTCCCTGGGACGACTGGTTCCGGTTTTATTCTGTGTAGATTCAGTTTTATTATATATAAGCAGAAAATAAGGTAGTTTTAAACTCAACATCGTGAAATATGTCTTGGAGACTAATTCATTGATTGGTATATTCGCTTTGTTTAAAGTTACTGCTCCTGTATAGCATAATCCACTTCAAACTGCTACAGGGACAGGTTTGTCCGTGGGCTTATTTTAGAAGCTGTTAACCATTTTCAAGTGGATTTTTTTTTTTCTTTTTGTCCTTCAGCAGTCCTTCTCCCTTTCTCATCATCATCATTTTATTAGCAATTAATAAACTGCTAATAAACAATTCCTAAAAGGTGAGATAGAGGAGAAGATTTTCTTGTTCCTGAGGCAGACTGGCTAGGCTGGGGGATGCTCAGAATACAGTCAGGGAGTAAATTGCCACAGCACGATAAGTAAGTGCTGCTTGCAGCGATTAACGGCTGTATTTCGTTTCACTCTAGTGCTATCTTGCCCTGGCCAAAGGTGGCTTACTACCCGATCATGTCTTGATTTTGCCTATCGGGCACTATCAGTCGGTGGTCGACTTGTCTTCAGAGGTGGTGGAAGAAGTGACCAAGTACAAGACTGCCCTAAAGGAGTTTTTCAGAAGCAAGGGAAAGATTTTTTGAAAGAAACTACAGGAGTCAGCATCTGCAGTTACAGGTACAGTTTTGGTGGTACCCTGAGAGAACACAAACTTGCCCTTCTCTGCAAATGAGTTGAAAGAGAAAGCTCACCTTCAAAACTCCCTCTTTATTCTGTGCCTTCCCAGAGTATGGAGAGAAGTCGTCCTACCCACAGGCAGAGCCAGAGCAAAAATAAAACCGGTGCGCTGGTTCTGCCACAGTCCTTTAATTCTTCCTGTTGCAGCAGCACAGCGTTGGTTGCATTGAGTGGGTGAGGAAAACTTCTTCCCGCGCGGAACCAATTAAAAAGGTTTTCAGATAAGTTGCAAGACCCTCGCTCTGACTCTGATCACCTCACGCAGGAACTGCAGTGCTCACATTTGTAGGCTGAAATCTGAAGATAGATGCAGAACTCTGGGCGTCATTGTCTACCAGTACCAGCCCTATGTTTTCATTTATTTTTATGTTTTTTTGTTCTCATGTGTCAGTCATTTAGGGGTTTATTGTGGTGGTTTCTGTACTTGGCAGATCTGTACCTGTATCAGAGCGGCCTTAAACCACCACAGAGATGAGAAAGGAGAAGGCTGTGCTGAGAACTTTGTCAAGCTTTTAGTTTTCAGCTTTTTGTTCAGCTCCTACAAGAAAAAAACCAAACAAACAAACTCATAAGTTTAAGCCTGTACAGATAGGTGCTCACCTGTCTTGTTTGATGATGCTGAGCAGTACTGAGGAGCACACCAGCTCCAGTGATGGATTGGTTGCTCTCTGCCATTTCTGCAATTTCTTGTTTTGTCTTCTTTTTATGGAAACGTTGTCATCCCTCTCCAGGTGATTCCTGTCCCATTGGACCACTGTACTTCTGAAGACATTAAGGAGTCCTTTATTGCACAGGCACAGGAACAACAGATTGACTTGTTAGAAATCCCAGAACACTCAGATATCACGCAAGTACGAGACAAGATTTCACCTGTTAATTGACTTTCCCTTGGTCCCGCCTGGGCGGCCGTTTCCCTCCGAGGTCGCTTCACGTGGTGGGGTTAAGCTGTTGGGAGGCAGACCGTTGTAGACTTGATTTGGAGACTCATAGACTCACAGAATAGTTGTGGTTGGAGGGGACCTTGAAAGGTCATCTGGTCCAACTCTCTTGCAATGAACAGGGATGTCTTCAACTAGATCAGCTTGCTCACAGCCCTGACCAACCTGACCTTGAACGTTTCCAGGGATGGGGACATGCCGGGTCTATTCTGCTCCGGCTGAAGGTCCTGGTCAACGACAGCTGTGTTGCTTCCCTGAAAATCATTCCAGCTACGCGTAGGGCTTGCAGAATTCATTCCTTCCCATACCGAACGCCAACCCTCTTTCAGTGCAGCTGCGCACGAGGTAGTTTTAGGTTCCCTTGGGGGAGAATTTGCAAGAATGAGCCATACCGGTGCGGGACGACCCAGCTCGGGTTAAGAATGACCACAACTGCCTGGCGCTTTCATTAAATGACGCCGCCATAGTAGAGGAATTAAACCACAAAAAAAACCCCACCCACCCTGCAGTGGCGCCCTGTGTGCATCCTCAACCGCTGATGCTAGCGGAAAGCGGTCCGTGGCCCCCTGGAAATTAGGGTTTGACGTCAGCCAGGGGAGGCAGTTGGGTGTCTCTTTGGCGGGGGGGTGGTGGTGTAGGGGTTAGGAAACATCTGGAAACAGCTGCCGGGCTCCCACCCTCTCCTCCCGCCCTCCGGCGTCCCCACCCCCAAACCTGTGGGTCCAAATAGCTCCAGGGTAGGTGGATTTTTCCACCCTGTTCCAGGTCTAATTTCTCTTTCAAACTAGTACCGTATATCTTTCCCCACCTCCCACTTGTCACTTTATGGCTTGCTGGATCTGTTTCCTTTAATGCTTGAAAATATACAGTTAAAATCACCTTAAAATTTACTAATATGCCTTTTTATTTGAAAGGCTTATTTTCCTGAAAGGCTTTCCCAGTCTTATATGAGGGCATGCTCTCTAATATTAAACATTTTTTTTTAAAAATGGGTGCACATCTGTTTGATATTTAACTGGAAACAAATGGCGAGAGTGGAGAACATGAGCAAAATTACGCTTTAGATAGCTATAAAAGGTCATTTTTGCTTTAAACTACAAAGGATGAATAGGGGCATATGACACACATAATAAAGGCAGAGATAGGTTTAAAATGCCCTCAGGCTACGCTGAGGTCACTTGCTAGCTTACAAGAAAAGACACATTTTGCCCTCCTTTTTTTTTTTTTTTTGCCCCCCAAATGTGTGGAGTAGCAAGCTGGGCTCTGTGTGCGAGGAACGTCACTCAATCCCTGCTTTAAAACCCATCATATTTTTCTCTATTGTTTTCCTAAGGCATACTGAACTCATAAGCCTAATAATTGAGTAATTGGTCCAAAACTAACCCCTCTGTCTTCCTGGCTGAAAACTGGAGAAGGGTCTGACTTGTCTTGCCAAAGAAGCCATTGCTCGTGCCCTGCCGTATGATGCGAAATGGGAGCGGGGAGCGGGGACAGCCACCTCTGAGCTGGCCGGGCTGAGGGACCTGGCTGGGGACAGCCTGGAGGGCTGAGGGATCTGCCTGGGGACAGCCAGCCCTGAACCGTCCGGGCTGAGGGTCACCCAAGGGCCCTGCGCTGGTTTATCTGTCCTCCCAAGATGTCCGGGTGCTTCTGCTCTGGCGTGCAGCTGATGCTTCAGCTCGGGACCTAGCGACACCCAGACCCCTGTGCTGTTTGTCCGTCCCCCAGCGACAGCTGAATTCTTCCAAACGCAAACCACGCCGTGTGTCAAGTTTTAATGCGGTGACATGAGAGCAGCCGCGTATTCCTGTACCGTGCAGTGCGTTTGTCTTTAGCAACCGGGGAGCTAGGAATTGCTTTTTCTCTGTCATGCTCACACGTGTACAGAATGATGTCTCCTAATGCTTTTTCCTGAGAAAGAGTACTCTACGCTGCCCACCGTCCCTCTTTCTGGCATGTCACTCTGACGTACCTGTAAACCAGAGCTGGCCAGGTTTGTCCTTGTGGACGTTGGAGGGGCGTCACACAGTTAGTTGTTCCCTCATCCTGAGAATTCCTCCTCCCTTTTGAGAGAGATCCTGGAGCATGGCATGCTCTGTCTCATGGGTGAGTTTTGTTCCGAGTTGTCCTCACCAAGGCCTGCGGTGCACTTGCTGCACAGAGCTTTACTGAGCTCCTGCTCTGCTGCCTTGTCACCCTCCGCTGCTCGCTGACTGTGCTAACGTTGGAGGAAACCACTTCCAGGCAACCTGAATTTGTAAGTCGGGGCTCGGTGATCGCTGTTCTCCTTAGCATTTTTAACCATACTCGTTTTCTGAATACAAGTGCTGAGCTGCACGGCTACAGCTGCTGTTGTGGTGGCTTCCAGAGGCTTTGATAGGTGTACACAGAACTAATTTGGCTTCACTTCCTTTTGGATGTGTCTTTTATTCCCAAGAGTAACGCATGTTATAGACAGTCAGGAAACAGCTGTTTGAATTCAGCTGCAGAAGTGAATCCTTCCCTGTGTACGTGGACTTCACCTGCCCGGTTCTACCTCCCCAGTACTGTCACACAAGTGTTAATGGATTCCTATGAAACCCTTGGGCCAGGGGAAGCTGTCCCCACATGCATAAACAGAGACACATGTGTGACAACTTTGCCAGGAATGTGCAGGAATCCAGAACTTGAGCCCGGATCCTCATCATTAAAGTCCTGTACCTTGACTTTGGGACGTTGGTTCTGCTCATCCCTGGTTTGCGTATTCCCAAAGTATGGATTTTAGGCATTTGGATCCTGGTAGGTGCCAGCTGAAGAGTGTACGTCTCAGCAAGGATATGTTTGGGGAACAGAAATTGTACCTGAAACATAAAACATAGTTGACAATCTGTTGTCTTATTCTTCTGAAGAGGAGTCATAATTTTTATCCAGCTTTCCATGTGCTTAGGTTGAACCATCCCAATGTAGTAAGAGCCTGTGAAGTTCCTGAGGAGATGAACTTTCTGGTCAATGATGTTCCTCTTCTGGCGATGGAATATTGTTCAGGGGGTGACCTCCGGAAGGTAATGTCTGCTTTGCTTTGCACTGTTTAGCAAAATAAGTGGACTTAATGGTGTTTCCATAACTGTGGTTGTCTGTGAAACCATGTATGTTCTGTGGTGCTTTTTTTTTTTTAAGTACAGGTACGGGGAAGTAAATGTAAAGTGGAAAAAAGCCACGCGTGGCAAATGAGGCTTGTGTTTTTGAAACCGGAGGACAGAGAACAATCCATAGGCCAGATACAGGGGTTTTGTTTTTGTTTTTATCCTGAAGCAGTATGTTCTTTCATGGAACTGCTTTAGCTTTCACACAACTTTCTGTAGCGTATTTGGCTTTCAAAGAATCATAGAATGGTTTGGGTTGGAAGGGACCTTGAAGATCATCTAGTCCCAACCTGCCCTGGGCAGGGCCACCTCCCACCAGCCCGGGTTGCTCCAAGCCCCGTCCAACCTGGCCTTGAACACCTCCAGGGATGGGGCAGCCACAGCTTCTTGGGGCAACCTGCCCCAGGGGCTCACCACCCTCACAGTCAAGAACTTCTAATCTAATCTAAGTCTTCCCTATTTCAGTGTCAAACCATCCCCCCTCATCCTATCGCTCCCCTCCCTGATCAAGAGTCCCTCCCCAGCTCTCCTGTAGCCTTTTTAGGGGAGTGGAAGGGACTCAAAGGTCTCCCCGGAGCCTTCTCTTCTCCAGGCTGAACACCCCCAACTCTCTCAGCCTCTCCTCACAGCAGAGGTGCTCCAGCCTTCCCAGCATCTTTGTGGCCTCCTCTGGACCCGCTCCCACGGGTCCCTGTCCTTGTGCTGAGGACTCCAAAGCTGGACACAGCACTGCAGGTGGGGTCTCACCAGAGTGCAGTAAAGGGGCAGAATCCCCTCCCTCACCCTGCTGGCTTTTGATGCAGCCTTTGCTGCCGTGGGTCTCTGTTTGGAGTCTGACATGGGTTTGATTCACGTGTAGCCAGTGTTGTATTGCTCTCGGCAGAGGGAGTGATCCTTTTGGTACTGGACTGGGGCCTCCAGGGCTTCAGAGACTTTCCTGTTTCCTCCTGAACAGTTTCTGGGAGCTGGCCTTCTGCAAAGCAGCAACACCCAGGAGTTCCCCAGGCAGCGGCTGCATTGCCCGGTAGAGTTTATGCTCCCTTTCCGTTGCAGCTGGATTCAGGAAGCAACCATTTCTATAGGGGTGAAGAAACTAATCCCCGTTGATTAAAGTTTGTCTAGAAATCACCTCATCTAAATGATCAGGAAGCTCATTTTTCTGTCATCGTTTTTGTTACTGATGTTAAATGGAGGAACGTGAGCAGATGTTGAATGCAATGTCTGTGATAGCAGCTAATGTCTCAGTAACTTACTGAGCCTCATTTTATGTTTTTGAGTTGTTTAAAACAGTAGGGGCAATTTTAAAGGGCAGTTTTCAGAGACAATTTTAAGGTTGGCTATGAAAGGGAATGGGTATATATGAAAAAAAAGCATTTGGATGTTGCAAATGCGTGTAGCTGACCCTGTTCGCGGGGACGCTTGAATGGTGTATTTTTGCAGTAAAAGTTTTTAGACTACTTGAGGGTAAATTGGAGGCCTTGGCCAAGAAATTTACCGTTATGTTAGCTCTACTTGCAATGCAGTGTTTGATCATTTAATTTGTAATGAATCCTTAGATGTTGCATAGATGCTGGGGCAATTGAAGAAGTAACATGCTTCATTTAATTTGATCGCATGTAATGCTGTGTCCCTTAAAGAAAAATAAAGATGCTTTTTTTAATTTTTTTTTTATTTCTGAGGCTGCTCTTCTTTAAATCTTTCTCTTACACTCACTTGGCATCATTTGTGTTCTGCACCACTATGAATTTCTCATTGCACATCTGCGTCTTCATAAAGCCTGGAAAAGCATCAGCCTCTGTCTGTGTGCCACGCGCATTTTTGTGCTTGTGCTCTTTCAGGGTAGTGTTGTGGCCTCTGACCTTGATTTCTGACTTGGCCCCTCTCTTCCTTTGTTGTTCAGCACATCTACCCAGAACTTAAGGAGTGAGCTGTTGAAGTTTGGCTTCTGCGCCGTAGAGGTTGTGCCTGACGCGTGGGAGGCAGGCAAGAACATGAGGGGACATCATGGGAGGTGTGACTGCGGTGCAGAGGTGTCCCTCAGTCATCTATAAATGCCTTCTGTGTGGTGATCAAAAAGTTAGATCATGCGTTGATTGACTCGGGGCATATGCGGGCAATTGCTGAAGCTGCTTATTGACAGATCGTTAAGACAGTGATTAGGAGGGGGGTTCCTACAGTGATTCACCCGTACCTTTCACTAGAGGAGAAAAGTTCTAGGCACGGGAGAGGAGAGATGAAGAAGCACTTTAGAGCGGAGGCAGGGTGGCGAGTTCAGGTCATGGTCCATGCTGTGGACGTTCCAGTGATCCACAGGCCAACGATCTGCTTTTTAGCTCAGCATTAACTGGGTGGGTGACCTAGGAGCCAGCACGCTGAATTGTCGAGCAGCCGCTTCTTGTGGGAGCGCGGTCAGAAAGGAGACCATGTCCCACAGCAGAGCTAGCCAGCGATCGAGCACTCTGAGCCGAAGAACGTGACTTGTGCGGGTTGGGGCAGCCTGTGGCAATAGCACTGTTATCGGAGAACGTGCCCTTTGCTGGTTTTAAGGTGCTTGACCGTGAGGTGGGGGTGGCTGGTACTGTGCCTTGGACACTGCAGGGCTCAGGCAATGTTGGTGACTACGGAGGTGGCTGCGCAGTGTTGGGAAGCCTGGGCTGATACCTGGGTTGCTTTTCCATGGTGTGGGATATCACTTGGGTACAGCACACTGAGAAAAACAGACTCTGGTACTGCAGCTGGCTTGTTAAGATTAAAGCAGCAGTTGCTTTGGGCCAGCCGGGCTGTTTGGGAGCTGTAAATGACTGCAGTGATCATCTCTTCTGTAGCCTGTACTGAATTTAGGGGTTAACCTGTTGGTTTCCTTTCTTAAATCCTTTTATCAGTGAGCCATGTTTGAAAGCCAAGGGGCTTAGGTGTGTATCTGCTCCTTTTGCATGTTGTCGCTCCATTTATTTTCCTCACTGGTGGGTTTTTCTTCCAAGCAGCAGTCCTGCTTCAGCTAGATTTAAACTAGGTATAAGAAAGACATTTTTTACAATGAGGGTGGTGAAACACTGGCACCGGTTGCCCAGAGGGGTGGTAGATGCCCCATCCCTGGAAGCATTCAAGGTCAGGTTGGACAGGACTCTGAGCAACCTGATATAGTTGAAGATGTCCCTGCTCATGGCAGAGGAGGTTGGACTAGATGACCTTTAAAGGTCCCTTTCCACCCAAACCATTCTATGATTTGGGGTGTTTCCAAATCCCATCATGCCAAACTTCAGCAGATGAGGAACAAGCAAATTCCAGGAGCCTCAGGATCCCCATTGCCTGCAGCTGTCGGGCCCTGCCTGCATCTCTTGCTCGTTTGCTCTCTGATGGCTTTGATGCTGTTGTGGTATTCAAGCAGCCCAAATCTTTTTCAACCCCATCTCCATGCAATGAATTTTCGTTGGGTCTGAGTTGTTTTCTTTTTACCCCATTCTTTTATTTCACAAAGCCAACTACCTCATTCAACTAGAGTTATATTTGGGCTGTGCTGTTTTCTGTCATGTCAGCAGGGGGTGGAAGATGTTCTTGACTGCTAACTGTTGCACTGTGGTTCTAAACATCTTTTTCTTTGCTGTAGTTGCTAAACAAACCAGAAAACTGCTGCGGACTTAAGGAAAGTCAAATACTTTCTCTGCTTAGCGACGTTGGTACGTAGCGTAATGCCTCTCGTTGTTTTTTTTTTGTTTTTTTTTTTGTTTTTTTTTTTAAGTGTAATGGCATTTTGCTTTTTCAGGTGACCCTAAAAAGGAGACTGACGAGAACAGGGTGTTAAAACAAATCAGATTTCTATTCCAGTGGAAGGGCTTGGTATCCCTGCTGGTCACAGAGACAAGAAGCTTGCAGTAATGATGTCTCTGTGGAATGGGTTTGGAAAAGCTGTGTAGTGGTCAGTTGTACGTAGCTATGACCTTAACGTTTTGTTTTGTTAAGGTCACAGTTTTCCATTCAAACCCTGTTTCTGTTCGTGGCTTTAGAGCTGCCAAACTGCCTGTCACTTGAAGGAACGTAACTTTTACAAGCCAAAAAGCGAGAACCAACGTGAGAAGTGCCAAAGCTGCCCTGTGGCTTCTCTGCGTAGGGTTTGCTTAGTAGGAGGGAAATGTTGTTGTTTGGGGGGACGGTACAGAGGAGATGATAAACTGGCATGGAGCTGAGAGCAAGGTAGGTGAGAGCATAGCAGAAGAGGAAGCCAACCATGCTGTGGCTAGTCCAGCAATCTTCTGGCTAATGATCTGCTCTGAACTGAAGGTTAATTAGGTAGGTGATCCCAAAAGAAGTGTGCCTAAACGTTGAGGAGCTTCTCATTTTGGAATAGCAATCCTGTCGGTCCGCATTAGAGCTGTGGCTAGCACAGTGATGGAGATCATGGTCTCCTTTACTCAGTGCTGGAGGGGGCTACATCTGGATACAGTTGTCCACATCTGGCCCTGAGTTCCAGAGGGATGTGGAGATCCTGGCAAGGCTGCCCAGGGCCTGGAGCACCCAACCCACCAGGAGATGGGCTTGTTGGGTCTGGCTACAGGGAGGCTGACAAGGCCCGGAGAGCAGCCTGTAGCCTGTGGCTACAGAAGGGGTAAGTGCAAAGGTGATGGATGGGACCAAACTGTACTCGCTGAGCAGCGTAACAAGGGGCACCAGCCCTGTGTTGCACCATGGGAGGCTGAAGCGTGAGGTTGGAGAAGAAACCTTCTTTCCCGTTAACACTGCTGTTGTGCTGTGTATGGTCCTGGGGAAGGTCCTAAGGCAGCCTACAGGGAGGCAGGGTGAAGACGAGATGAGAATTAGCCAGACGTCAACTTGTACTGCGTTCAGAAGGTGTCTGGTAACGTGGTTTTCCGATTCTGCAGTTTGGAAAGGGAGCAGGCAGCAAATCCCTACAGGAGTAGCCCAGGGTTGATAGCACTGCTCACAGGGAACTATTTAATTTGATACCTTCAGGTGCCTGCTTTAAAGCCCTTTCCCCAGGCTGTGGTAATCCGTGGAAATCATTCAGTGAGACAAACATGATGGTCTCCGGAGGCGTTTCATCAAATATCTCAATTTTAAAACTGTTGAGCTTTAGCTTGATGCCAAATTCTTCACCACTGAGAGCAAGAAAATAAAAGATGTGAGACTTGAAACTGGCCTTCCTGTCTATCACGAAGTGCCGGGCTTCTTGCACACCCTGGGGAGAAGTCATCTGATGGAAGGAGATGCCTGCAGACGGTTTCTGTAGCAAGTAGGCTTTCCAGGAGACCTCCTCAATAGAGCTCATTGGTTTCTTAGCTCTCTTACAGATAATCCATCTCTACTTGTAGTGACAGAGCTGGTTCTGGCATGAGAAAGCATTTTGGGTGTATTGGCCTCGGTTTCTGTTCTTTCAGTGCCCAGAGTTTCCCACTATCATTTCTGGAAGTGCTTGCAGTTGAGGTCCTGAAATCAAGCGCAACTCTTCATTCCTTCATCCTTGTTCCCCTTCCACCCGCAGAACAGGGTCTGTTGTCTTCATAAATTGAACGTCCTTGTCATGTCTTTGGCAAAGACTTGAAAATGCAGTGGAGAAGAAATGCAAGTTACAAGCTGTTAAATGTATAAATGGCAAATCAGTGAAGGTCGGGGACTTTCTCCCTGAAAGTGTCTGAACTGTGGACAAGGGCGTGACGGTTGAATGTTTCTCTTAAAATAATCCCGTAACGAATTTACAGTCATGGCTGGTCAGAAGTAGGCTTTGCGCAATGTGCAGTCAGAATATCTTTTGCATAGGAAAGTCTAAAGTACCCCACGATGACAATACCTGCCTTGGGCCTTTTGTGGGACCTTTTCTTTTACTTCCACTTGCACATCTCCAAGGCTGAAAAATAGTGACTTATAAAAAAAAAAAAAAAAAAAGACCAAAAAAAAAACCCAAACCCAACCAACCCAACCAAATTTTGAAAGTACTCCTTTGCTGTTTGGTCTGTGGCTATGTCCTGAGGGAGGCGCTTGCTTGCTTATCATTGACGTAGCAGTCAGTGCTATTGTTTGGATAAACCTATAGTGAATTTTCCCCTTCTCGTAGACAGAATCCTGGTAACTAGAGGCTGCCCAGGGATCGTTGCTTAGCTCCAGCCGTGCTCCTGCTGCGGCACAGCTGAGCAGTCCCTTCCCTGATGTGGTGGTTTGCGTTGTGGTGGGAGAAGTTTACTAGAAGCTCTATAAGCCGCTATTTGGCAGTAGGTTCAGGTCAAAGGGGGACTCGACTTGTGTCATTTGCTTGATTAATTTCATCAGCATCTTGCATAACACGCTCACGTATATAAATAGGTCTTTGTGTTATCTTGTGTTAATTTATCAAGATCTTCGGCTGGAGGACACGCAGAGCTGTTTCAAGCTGCCTGCACGTTTTAGGAGACCTGTTTTTGCTTTTTTGCGTGCTGTGGTTCGTTTTGTAACTCTACGGTTAGAGTAAAATTCAGCTGCCTTCTCTCTTGCCTTCCTGGTGAGAGATGTGACCTGCGTTTAGGCCACCAGGTCTGAACTCTGTAGCAACCTCCATTTCTGTGGAGCAGAGGAAGAGAGCTAATTCAGTCCTAGCATAAATCTTGACAAACCTCTTACATCAATAGTTCTTAATGGTGCTTAAAAATGAAAATGTATTGACGTCAACCCCAGTGTCAGGGATATTAGATTTTTATCATATGCATCTTTAATCAACATGAGTTTATCTTCTGTTAAATCAAACGTATCTTTCAGGGTCTGGTATCCAGTATTTGCATGAAAACAGAATTATACACAGAGATTTAAAGCCTGAAAATATTGTTCTTCAGGATGAAAATGGGAAGGTAAGTCAGGTGGCCTCTGTCAGTGGTGTTCCCACTATCATTTCTGGAAGTTGCCAGCAGCTTTGTCTTACCTGAGAGAAATAGAAGAGAACAAGTAGTTTGTGGCATTGAACTGGGCTGAAAACTCAACTGCGAGTTTACTAAAAGTTTCCGTCGTCTTGAAGCCACAAATCCTATTTTGCTTATTTTTAAGTCCTCGTGATTAAAAACAAGCAACTTTTGCTTCCTTTCAAGAACCCTGACTGCAACAGAATATGGACAATACGAGATCGTAGCGTATCCCTGTGTTTGTGGCTTTGAGGGCTGCATGTAAAATCAAGCTAGTTCAGAGAGTCAGCCTCATGGATTTCTTGGTGAAAATTGTTTCCTCTATTACACAGAATCACAGAATGGTCAGGGTCGGAAGGGCCCTCTGGAGATCATCTAGTCCAACCCCCCTGCCAGAGCAGGGTCACCTACAACAGGTTGTGCAGGACGGCAACCCGGTGGGTTTGGAATGTCTCCAGAGTGGGTGACTCCACCACCTCTCTGGGCAGCCTGTTCCGGTGCTCCGCTACCCTCAAAGTAAAGAAGTTCCTCCTCATGTTAAGGTGGAACTTCCTGTGTTCAAGCTTGTGCCTGTTACCCCTCGTCCTATTTGTTACTTTTCAAACAAATAACTTCCAATTCCCAGATGAAAAGCTAGATACTCTGTTCAGCCAAGCTGTAACTGGCAAGCTGCTTTGAATAAAGTCAAGTCTAAGTTGAGATGGGTGGACAACGCCAGCTTACATGGTGAAACAGCGAGCTTTAACACTGTGTTGTCACATGTTTGAAGCTTCACCACGGACTTTCCTCAGAATTTCCATTCTGGCTTTTCCTCTTCTCGAGTGTATGCTGTGGATGTCACTGCACAGATTTTGGGTTGGTTGGTGGCTTTTTTTTTCTCCTCTGAATTTGCTCTTCTGACGGACGATCTAAACTGTCTACAGATTGTTCACAAAATAATAGACCTGGGGTACGCAAAGGATCTGGATCAAGGAAGTTTATGCACTTCATTTGTTGGAACGCTACAATATTTGGTAAGACTTGCTGTTTTTTTTCATGTATACAAGTCATGTGGTATTGCCACATCTTATAGAATCACAGAAGTGTACGTCAGGGGGAACCTACAGAGGTCCCTTGTCCAGCCTCCCACTTGCCCCAGGACTGTCGCCAGCACAAGGTCAGGGCAGCTGTGGCTTGGCCCAGCCAAACCCTGACACCTCTGAAAATGGAGGTCCTGCACCTTCCTGGGGACTTGTCCCAGGGACCTTCCCTCTCCAGGGGAAGAAGTGTTTCCTCATGTCCAACCTCAGCCTTCCAGGTGGCGATTTGGGGCCGTTGCCCCTCACTGTATCGCCTGTCACTTCTGACGTGAGTTTGGCCCCGTCCATCCCTTCCTGTGCCACATTTGGGACCTGCTTCCCCACAGCAAGACCCAACAAGCCCAGCGCCCTCCCATCTCCTGGTGGGTTGTGTGCTCTAATCCCTGACCCATGAGGTAGCCTAAGTGGGGCTGCATCAGGGTCCCTGTGCCACTCTGGAACTGGGGGCCACGTCTAGACGCAGCTTCGTCTCTGCAGAAATGTGAGAAAATAGGTGACCAGAAGTACTGCTTTCAAAGTGTCTTTTTATTGTGATCCTTTTTAGGCTCCAGAACTCTTTGAGAATAAATCCTACTCAGTTACTGTTGACTATTGGAGCTTTGGAACGATGGTGTTTGAATGCATTGCAGGATTTAGACCTTTCTTACATAATCTACAGCCTTTTGCCTGGTAAGAGACTTATTCTGCCAATAGTGATGCCGGGCAACAGGGACAACAGCTGCTGCGGGTGGTGAGGTGACAGCATGAACCCAAACGATAAATTGTTCGTTAGGTGCTGAGGCTGATGGTCTGCTGAGCTTCGCAGAAGCCGTTGATGGTTCAGTCGCATCAACGACAGCTATTTATACACACTGTAGCACGCGCTTATTGCGTTGCGTGGTAGCCACTGCTCGTAATAATTCCTTCACAAGTGAAACGTGAATCCAAAAATATAAAAATAAACCCGTCTGTGTATTGGTATCAGAAAAACACCATGGGAAGCAGTGATACAGTCCTTTGTTCACCACGGCTGTGAGGTTACTTATTCTTAGAAATAAATAACACGCAGCAAGACAGAGTGTATTTTGTGTAGTAAACACGTACTTGTGGGTTTGTACGTAACTTCACGAGAGTGATGACTGAAAGACTTTATCCTGCTTGCTCTTTCAGGGCTAGAAGAAGGGGCAGAAATACGTAGTTTCGTATTTCCACTTCTTACCTTGCAATACCAGGAATGTATGTAAGCTTGGTTTTTAAAAGGGTGATCCTGCAACAGAAAAAATACAAAACTTGCTTTTTGGTTAGCGTGGAAATAACAGGAGAAAAAGTAAATTTGAGGTTTCCTTCAAGTGTTAGCTTCAAAAATTATTGTGTGTTAACAAAAAATAATTTTAACCAATATGTTGCAATAGTTTCCCTTTTAACTGCTAACTCTTGGGATTTTATTATTTTAATCTGTTCCGTTTTTTCCGTCATGGCAAACTTGATTTCCTAATCAAGGAATTAGTGGAAAACTAATGAATGAATGAGATCAGAAACAGCTCTTCCCTATCCGTAAAAGAAGGAAGAGAAGAGCTCAGGCCACACATGTTGTAGCTTCAGTTCCAGTTGGGTCTGACTGGGACAGAGAGCAAGCTGGCAGCCTCCAGGAGCATTCAGCCTCGCAGCTGACTGGCTGTGGGCTTGCCCTGGGAAATCCTGTGGCTCCGGGAGCAGCTGAGCTCTGGGCAAGATTCAGACCGGTGCTGAAGTGAGCCAAGGTGAGGAAACTGAGGCAGAGTTGCTGGTGATGCTTTCGCTGGTACTGGATCCAGTAGCATGCTGTGTTTCTAACACTTCTTAGGTGCTTCACTTGGATCAAGGTAAGGGTGGTGCGAAGGCCAGAGGCACAGTTAATTACAAAGCCTCCCACCTTCCACTTGGAGGTGTTCTGGGTGGATTGTTTGGAAGCATCGTCTTTGTCCTGAAAGAAGAGTTATGTTTTCTAAAGCGACTAGACTGTGGTGCTTTTTGCTGCTGCCATATTCAATAGTCTTTTTCCAAACACACCGCCATTGGTATATCCACTAAGGATTTTATTTTCTAGGCATGAAAAAATCAAGAAGAAGGATCCGAAGCACATCTTTGCTTCTGAAGAGATGAATGGGGAGGTTCGCTTTAGTACCCATTTGCCACAGCCTCACAGCCTCTGTGGGTAAGTGTGTCCTTGTGCCTACATGTGATAATTTTTGGCTTGTCTTTTAAACTGAGGACTCCTCCTCCTTAAGCCCAAGCACTGAGAGGTCCTCCTTCTTTCTCCTAAGCAGTGTTCCAAGGTCCTGGCGAGCTACCGTTTGCTGTTAAGGAATAGCCTGTAGCCACATGGTTCTTTTTTGATTCTTTGGATGCTCGCATGGCTGTTCACCCTGCAGGTTGTTGGGATGATGGCAGTTCATGTTGCAGTGTGAACTCTGACCGCTTTCCACCTGTTATCACAAGGCCACTGAGTAACGTCTACCTGATGACTTGATGGTATTGAATCTCATAAACCAAGTACTTGAGTTAGCTGCGCTGTGAAAGCAAAAGCTTATAGTTTTTTTTTTGTTGGGAAAACTGCAGCGAGTCCAGCAGAGGCCACAAAGATGGTCAGAGCCCGTTGAACAGAGTGTGCAAGGAGGGGCCCTTAAGCTGGGCTGCTTGAGCCTGGCAAAGAGAAGGCAAAGGGGGATCTAATTTTGTCTTCTACTATCTATTGGGGCATTACAGAGACAATAGGCTCTTCTTAGGGTGGTGAAGCAAGAGGACAAAAGGCGACAGCACAAGCTACAAGGGAAATGAAATTTTGACACAGGAAAAAGGTTTCCTCAAGCTAGTGATGCATCCCTGGGACAGGACCCCGAGCAGTGGGGGATCTCTGTCTGTGGGGACTGCTCAGACTCGCTTTGACAGTCCTGAGCAACCTGCTGTAGCTGTGACGTTGGCCCTGCTGTGGGCAGGGGCTCAGACCAAAGACCTCCAGGAGGGCCTTCAACCTGAATTCACCAAGTCAGAAATCAGATTCTTATCGTTTGTCACTTATGTAGCATTTGTGTCTTTAGATGTCCCCAGCAGTGCAACACAACCCATGGCACTGGTAGATTTCTAGGAAAAGTACTGGAGTTGAGAATGAAATAAGCGGCTTTGTGCCAGTGCTTAAAGATGTTCTTGACAATAAACTTACATGCCTCTTCTGTGGATAAACGTGGAGGAGAACCTTCCAGGCGGCTCTGCAGCGTGGGGTGATTATTCTGCAGACAAGGCTTTGAAGACTATTTTTTTATGTGTGTTTTTATGTGTATAATTATAATTTTTTGTGTATCACAGATGGATTTTGGAGGAAAAAACAAATAAAACAAGACACAATTCTCCCTCTTAACCTATCTTGACGCGCCTTACTGATGTGTCAAGATACTTTTGACTCAATGAATAGGAGTCAGGAAGAGGGAGCAGTGTGATGCGAGGTGTGTTGGATGGGCATGTACTCCTGCGGTGATCAGTGAAGACATGTTAGTGGAGATGCTCCCTCTGTATGTGCTTTCCTCCCCTTCCAGGCTTTCCCTGCTGTCAGGATGAGCAACTGCAGCAAAATCAGTTCTTCACAAATGTTCAGCAGGTGTTGCACGCGTATGGTCTCCAACCTTAGCCTTGTTGTAGTTGTATTGCTGTTGTGAGACCCTCGTTTCCTAAGTGGACTGAGTGTTGTAGAGTATCTGTCTTCTCTTTCTTATGGCCCTTCTGTTTTAGTTTAATTGTAGAACCGATGGAAAATTGGTTGCAACTGATGCTGAATTGGGATCCGCAACAGAGGGGTGGAGGTTTAGATCCTGAGACCAGTCGTCCAAAGTGTTTCCTAATAATGGATCACATATTGAATTTGAAGGTGAGTGAGGGTTGTGAATGGGTTTAAAGGCCTACTGAAAGCTTCTCAGGGGACAGGAAGTGTGTTCAGTGGAGCGAAGCTATAATCCTGGCATCATCCAGCTGCAGGATCACGGGGAATGTTTTTCTTGGTATCAGGAAGTGTGTTTCTACAGCTGGTCCAGTACCTATCTGAAGGCAAAATATCACCAGCAATACCAGTCTCTGGCTTTACGCTTGCAGTAGAAGAATGACCCTATATTGCTGTCTTCTTATCTCAGAATCACAGAATGTCAGAATGGTCAGGGTTGGAAGGGCCCTCTGGAGATCACCTAGTCCAACCCCCCTGCTAGAGCAGGGTCACCTACAACAGGTTGCGCAGGACGGCGAGCAGGTGGGTTTGGAATGTCTCCAGAGTGGGTGACTCCACCACCTCTCTGGGCAGCCTGTTCCAGTGCTCCACAAAGTAAAGAAGTTCCTCCTTCTGTTAAGATGGAACTTCCTATGTTCAAGCTTGTGCCCCTTACCACTAGTCCTATCACTGGGCACCACTGAAAAAAGACTGTTCCCATCCCCCTGGCACCCTCCCTTGAAGTATTTGTAAGCATTAATAAGATCCCCCCTCAATCTTCTTTTCTCTAGACTAAAGAGACCCAAGTCTCTCAGCCTTTCTCCATATGAGAGATGTTCCAATCCCCTCATCATCTTCGTTGCCCTTTGCTGGACCCTCTCCAGCAAAGGACAGTTCCCTGTCCTTCTTGAACTGGGGAGCCCAGAACTGGATGCAGTACTCCAGACGCGGCCTCCCCAGGGCAGAGTAGAGGGGGAGGATGACCTCCCTCGACCTGCTGGCCACACTCTTCTTGATGCACCCCAGGATGCCATTGGCCTTCTTGGCCGCCAGGGCACATTGCTGGCTCTGGTCATCCTGTTGTTCATCTCAGAAAAGTCTTGCCGAGATCAAATAAGGGTTTAGTATTTGCTAATAACAGGTTTCCTGAACTCCACTACTGATGCTGTGACCTCCAGCTCCATCTACTGTAATAGAACCTGTAGGAGAACAGAGATTACATTAACCTGACTCTTCCCCTTCAAGTAACTGCTTTGCTGGAGTTAGACTAGCTGAGGCAAGCATGTGTAGAAGCCAGGGGATCATTTTATCTGACCTGGGAGGATTCCAAAGGAATTAAAGCCCCAAACACAAAATATCATGCCTGTGATTGGGACTTGTCAAAATCTGTAGGTCGTGGTGTGGTTTGGGTCTTACAGTCTCTGCCCAGATATAGTAAAACTAGAGAGAGGGCCATGAGAGCGGTGAGGAGACAAGCACTGGTGCGTAGCAGCTTTTTTTGTATGGAGGGATTAAAGGAAACGGGACTCCCTTTCTTGGGAGCAGTACAGGCCGGCGTCAGAGAGGACAAGGCTCAAGATCGCCATTGTGCTGGCTTGTCACCATTCTTTTGCTGTAACTGAACTGCAGCGTGGCTTGGGAAGGTTATTAGTGTGTTTTATTGTAATTTTCTGACGTTAAGTTACAGGTGCAGGCTTTGAGTTGTATTATGTGGGGCTTTACTGCTGAAGTTGGTTATTGTAGTCATTAAAACTCAAACAGTGCTCTCAATCTAATGTGCTAATCGCTACGAACTCCCTCCCTGGCTATCAAAGACAAAAGGCACAAAGGCCCGTGACTTGCAATCAACTTGTACTCTTTTTTTACAGATAGTACACATCCTAAATATGACTTCTGCCAAGATTGTTTCGTTTCTCTTGCACCCAGAGGAAAGCCTTCATTCCCTTCAGATTCGGATTGAGTTTGAAACTGGAATAAGTACTGGAAATCAGGAGCTGCTGTTGGAAACGGGGATTTGCCTGGACCCTCGGAAACCTGCTTCCCAGTGTGTTATTGATGGCGTAGTAAGAATGCTTCTGTTTGTTTAATGTCTTTCACGTTCTCAGGGAATTTAAAAATCTTAGGGAAAATAAATTGCCTTCATCTTCTCCCACTGGGGACAGTTTGCTCTGTAAGTATAGTAACTCTTAAGGTCTAGCATTATTTCCTTTATCAGGTGATAAAAGTAGATTCCTATAGTTATACTCTGTCTAAATATTTAAATACAGTAACTTGCTAGCAAAGAATCCTGTGTTTCTGTGACATCTATCAAGATCAGGTTTTTAAGTCACCTGATAAGAAGAGTGTCTGCCCACAATAATTAGTTCATGATGTAACCAGGACCCTCTGGGTTAGTAGGTGCTATGTTTGGGATTTGTCTTGTTTACGTTCTCTTCTCTTTTTCTCACCAGAGAGGCTGGGATAGCTACATGGTCTATTTGTTTGATAAAAGTAAGACTGTCTATGATGGACCCTTTGCTTCTCGGAGTCTGTCTGACTGTGTAAATTACATTGGTAAGTATGCTGGAGGACAGCTGGGAACTGAAAACTCTGCTTCTCATCTATTATGAAAGTAGATTTGCCTTACAAATCTCTATGTGTGATCCTGAAGGGCATTCTCTGATTCAAAGAGGACCATTCAAGAACCTGGAGCAGCCTAATAAAGCTTCATCTACAGCGCAGTATCTCCACATGTCGTAGATGTAACAGTTCAGAGAATTTATTGCCCACACTTTGGGGGTTCTCCTATGGAGCAACTTAAGAATTCAGTTAATCCTATACGCTGAACAGCATCTACCCTGCCTAAGCCTAAACATCACCCCACTTAAACACAACCACGATGTGAGTGAGGGCTTGGGAGGTAATACGCGCAACCTAATCTTGTAGCCTAGAGAGGGAAGCTTTTGGTCTGTGTCTGCACGCTGCATCCTGGAAAGAAGACTCTGACTTGGGGACTGTGATTTCATTTGCACAGCCTTCTGGTCTGCTAAAGGGTCTTGTCCTTTCGCACCCACAGAGTGTTGCAGTGACATCGTGCCAGGAGGTGTTCGCAGAACTTGAGTGATAGCCCGCATAGACGTCCTTTGGTGGTCAGGAACCTTCTTACGTTAGGGTTTAGAGTCTGAAGTTGTGCACATATCCCTTCTTCTCTTCCTCCTCTCCTCCCTGTGCACAGGTACAAGCAGGTTTCAGCTCTTTGCAGTCCTGTCTCCTGAGGCTGGATGCTTTGGATGTTCATGAGAAGTTGCCTTCCTACAGCGCTCCTAGATTTATGTTTCTGAACCCCATATCAGCATCCTGAGGATAGAGATTACCTTTTTGCCCTGTACTGTCTGTGATAGCTGTGTTTCAGCTGTAATCCATCTCTTGTGTCTCACCTAAATGAAAGAACAGGTCCTTCATTCTGTGGTGCTGATCATTCAGGACCTGTGTGGGGAAGTTACCTTGCTCTGATCACAGAGCCAAGCGAGTGTATTTGGCCACGTCACACCGGTTGCAGAATTGTTGTCCTTTCCCTGTGGAGGTTATGGATTAGGGCTGGTCTTCAGCGATGCTTGGTAGAGGTTCAAAACGTGCAGTCTTGCAGTCTTCCCAACAGTTCTTAGCTCTATTGATACTGTGTCCATAACTCCGTAGCTCCCACCTCTGGTCTTGCCAAGCAGGGGCCAAGTGTCTGAGAGAGTCCAGGCCCCTCCTTCCTCTTGAGTTGTTAGGCGTAGAGCCATCTATCGCTGCACGGATACTGGTGGGATCTGCTCCAGTTGGTCCCTTTTACTTCTGGTGCTGCTGCCTGGCCCTGGTATCATCGGTGTTCTTTTAGACCGTGCATGAAAGCTGCTTCTCTGCTTACAGCTTCCCTTGCATGTCTCCTGAAATGACAGCAGTCATCTGCAGGACCTAATACACCTCTATGAAGGTATTTATATACCCAACATACCTGCATGAAGGACCTTGTGTACCTCTATGAAAGAAAAAAAAATAGTGTCAAGGGACAGGAGACATCTACTGGGATACTGCGTGTAAAGGAAATGCCTTGTGATATACAGTTGCTGTTAAATAGCTTTATTTTCTTTGGCCTGGCTCTGCAGAAGCTGTGCTGGTTTTCCCTCTCTCCTTTTACTGTCAGTCATGTTTATTCTGATTGGGTTTTTTTTCCTGTGTGCCGGGCTATTTTATTCTGGCAAATCTCATTGCGTGGCGTCATTGTGCTGAATCTCTTGGAGCCAGGGCTTTTCACAACATGTTTATTGATCTCCCAATGTACTGGCAGTTCCCCATCTCTATAGGGGAACACACACAAGTCCTGCTTTTTTTCCCCTTAAATGTCTACATCGTGAACTTGGGATGAAACGTACGAAAGATTAGAACGCATTTTTGGATGAAACACATGTCAGGACAGCGACCGATATCAATTGATTAAATGGAGCAATTACATTTGCTTTGTTAGCTTGGGCAAGTGCTTTAGAGGGAGTTTTTGGATAAAACCACCCATGGGTCCTGCCCTGGGCCATGTTTCATGCAACGTGCCCCACGTCTGCTACTGCCAACAGGGCAAAGCGCTCTAAGAAATCAGTACTCTTGTAGCTGTGAGTTCAAACACGAGCTGTTGCCTGGCCAGTAGCAGGCTGCCAAATATCTGGGGAGCCGTGACACGAAAAGCTTATACATGCTTAGGCAGCATCCCATAAAAACTGAGCAGAATCTTAGGTGGTTTGATCCCTTAGTTTAGGCACCTGAAGCAAGTTAGGAATGTTGTAAGCACTGAAGTCCTTTTCTCGAGTTGTCCTTTCATTCATGTACAATTGTGTTTGTTTTTTTTTTTTTTCTTGCATTCAGTTCAGGATAGTAAAATCCAACTGCCAATTCCTCAGCTGCGCAAGGTGTGGGCAGAAGCAGTTCACTACGTGATTGGGCTAAAAGAAGATTATAGCAGACTTTTCCAGGGCCAGAGAGCTGCCATGTAAGTTGCTACTCCTCATTCAGAAGATTCAGTATTAGGCAAATACAGAGACTGTTTGCGTGGAAATGTACATCTCAGGGACTTCTGGTTACCTGAAGTTTTACAGTCCTCTGCTGTTCTATATGTTTGCATTATAAAACATACTTGGGCTGGGACCTTATTCCACTCCAGGAATTTTACCACATAGTGCCTGACACTGATAATACTGAAAAAAACTTGAATATAGTCACAGACTAAACTTACAGAATGGCTGAGGTTGGTGGGGCCCTCTGGAGGTCATCCAGTCCAAGCCCCCCTGCTCAAGCAAGGTCACCTAGAGCTTGCCCAGGACCATGTCCAGATGGCTTTTAAGTATCTCCAAGGATGGAGACTCCACAACCTCTTTTGGCAACCTGTGCCGGTGCTTAATCACCCTCACGGTAAAAAAGAGTTTCCTGATGTTCAGAGGGAACCTCCTGTGTTTCAGTTTTTTGCCTGTCACCCCTGGTCCTGTCACTGGGCACCCCAGGAAAGAGCCTGGCTCCATTCTCTATGTACCCTCCGCTCAGGTATTTGTACGTTTTGATCCCCACTCGGCCTTTGATTCTCCAGGCTGAACAGTCCCAGCTCTAATCTTCATAGCCCCTGCTTGGTCTCTCTCCAGTATGTCTTATGTCTCTGATGTACTGGGGAGCCCAGAACTGGACCCAGGTGTGACCCTACCAGCACTGAACAGAGGGAGAGGATCACCTCCCTTGACCTGCTGGCAACGTTCCTCCTCCTAATGCAGCTCAGGATAGTCGTTTCGCAAGTGGCAGAATGAGTGGAACTGTTTGTTATATTTGTAGGGTTTTGTCCTGTGACTGAGTCACAGAATGGGCAGTGTCATGTGTCTCAAGTGATAAAAAAGGTGCCAGCATTCACCAGGGGCAACATGTGTTACAGCACCCTGTAAATGCTAAGAAATACTCTACGCTGCAAAGACTGCTTAACTGAGCTTGGCAAAAAAAAAAAAACAACCCTGGGAAACGAGGAAGGACTTTCTGTTTTGCTTGCTGAGAACCTGCAGCTTCTGAGGACGTGAGGTGGAGCCTATGACCCCATGTTCCAAGGATGTTACAATATTTTTTGCTAGCTCTGTGTTTCCTTCAGGTAATGTGACAGCACTGGCCACAAATCTGGATATGCTTTTCAACTAACGTGCTGTTCTTTTTTCATTTGTTAGGCTCAGTCTTCTTCGGTATAATGCCAACCTTATCAAAATGAAAAACAATATGGTGTCAGCATCTCAGCAGCTGAAAGCAAAGCTGGAATTCTTTCATCAAAGCATTCACCTCGACCTGGAGAGATACAGTGACCAGATGGCTTATGGCATATGTGCGTATTGTATGATTCTTGCCTGGGTGTCTTGTCTGATCCCATAAAGGATCAGACTGACTATGAAGGGCTGTGGGTAAAAAATAGCATTGCAAGGAAACGAATGCAGGAGCCGCCACTGTGTTCTTCAGCATCCTTATGGGTATGTTTTAGTTGGGGCAGATGCAGGAGAAGAGTTTGGCGGAAGCAAAGGAAGATGAAAAACAAAATGTTTTTGGAGATCTTCAGTGTCGGTGAAACAGGTGGTCAGCTGTTCCCCACTAAGAACACCAAGTGAAGAAAATTGGAGTATTAATAGCACTGGTGATGTAAACGTTTGCTATTTATTCGTTCAGAGTCTGATTCATTTGGAGTCATCACCGGGCATAAAGTGGAGGGCAGAGTTGCTGCACTTGATGTGCAGCGGAAGGGCCACCAACCATTCGTGGCAGAACCAATGGGCATCACGACTGTAGAAACATTGTTTTGAACAGCGCTAAGGGAGTGATCCTGCTGTGCTTGATATTAGGAGATAGCATGAGCCAGGATGAGACACGAGGTGAAAAAGCACCAGCTACAGTTTTAGTATCGCTGAAACGACAGGATCTTACAAATACTGTTCAGGGGAGAATAGTGAGATTTATGCATAGTTTGGATATATAGCTAAAAACCAAAGCTTGAGTCAAAAATTATGACTGGGCTGAAGGAGGATGATGGAAAATGGAAAGACTTGGGGAATTGGTTTTGGATAGTCTGTGTTTAATCAAAAGTGGCAGTTGTTGAGCTTAATGGTGGAGTTTAAAGACTGAAACTCATTTTAGGCCGGTGATTGCAAACAGCGAAATCCTACCAAACAGTTCGTATGTGAGCGTGGAGTTGTTAAGTTGCAACTTTGCTGTCTCTCTGTGATCTCTGGGTCACGACTCCTGCTTGGAGATTCAACGTCATTCTCTTTGTGTTCAAATTCAACTGATGTATGTAAAGCTCAGGTCATGCTTTATTTTTCTGTCTGTATGTTTTTATAAATTATCAACTCTTTTTTCTCTTAAGCTTCAGAAAAGATGCTCAAAGCCTGGAAGGAGATGCAAGAGAAGGCCTCTCAGTGTGCACAGGTAGGAGATATTAGAGAACCTTCGTCATCTCTGTGAAGCAGATCACGACAGGAACTTGGGGTCATGTGTGCCACTGCTCTGTGCCTTCAGTGTGTTTCATATCCTGCCTGCTGTGGGAATGAGAACATCATTGCAGATGCGTGATAAAAGAAACAGTCCCCAGTCACCAGGTTGTTTGAATCTAGTGGTTTGAAGAAAACCAGCACAAATGTCACTGGGCTCCATTGTCTGTATGGGAAAGTAGACTATAAAGACACATTATTTATTGCCCAAAAGAAGTGATGTTGCTGTAGCCAAGAGTCTTCCTGGTTGGATTTATTACGCAGAAAAATTTCCATTGCTACAGATGAAAATAATACCATTCGCTTGCTGTTGCAATGTTGAAATCACTGCGTACTTCATTGAGGAGTCCAGACATCAATTTCTGTTATTCTGCAGGTAAATATGCAAATTAGGTTTTAATAAGAGTCATCCTTAAGAAATTTAGAGCAGAGCTCGAGCCAGTTCTTACTCTGAGTAGTCCTAATAGTTAACAGATGGTTTTGCTCGTGGTTTACGGACAGTTGAGCTGACATAATGGCTTTCTGTTTCTCAGAGAGTTCTGCGAGCAGGGCTAGTTGAAATTTATCTACTGCTTAGAATTCTCATCTCTGTCTCCTGGGAATGAGCATTTTAACTTCACGTCCACTGAAAATGATGAGGAGATAGAGGCCTTTTTGACA